GGGGTATATTTAATTGGGTTAGGGGTACTAATTTGGGCTGAGGTCCGAATTTAAATAAAAAAAATTAAAGAGGTTGTTCGTTAAATACCCAATTGATTTAATAAAACAATTTAATAAAATAATTTATAAATGATAAAAATATCATTTGTGCATAAAAACGATTTAAAATAATTACTTAGTATTATAAAAATATAAAAGGTTAATTTCTTGTGAAATAAGATAATTATGCACACATGGGCTATTATTGCAAAGTTATTGCAATTATAACCCTAACATGTACATATAGCTATTCATGAAATAATCAAAGCTTAGTATAAATATAAATGATAAAATTAAGAAATAGAATTATCATGAATCGTTTGTAACGCAATTAGTAATTATTTAGATAATAAAATGATAGAACAAATTAATTGAAATCTTTTTAAAATTATAGAAAATTATGAAAAAATGTTGGTTGATGCTCATGCACTATTTTGAAAGTATATATGCATTTTTACAATATATGAGGGAAAAATTATGTATCAACAATAATTACATATCACCAAAAATAGTAAAGTTAGTAGGTGAAAATGATGATTGGATGTCAAACTATAATCCCAAAAACTAACACAACCTAAATCATATTATGACATCCAATTCAGTTACTAATACCAATATTAACAGAACATTAAACTGGAGACTGTCATTAAGTTTGCAGTAATTACATCCCAAAATAAACACAAAACTACATAGAACAACTTAATCATTTTCCTTTTCTTATCTTCAGCTTCCCAATCTTATGTTGCCTTTGTTTTTCTAACTAATTTGAAGTTGTAGCTGCTTTACCCTTCCACATCAGGTCTGCTGGTGAATATGGAAGATTTGTGGGCTCACTAACACTAGTGTGATCACCAGTAAAGTTGATTGATCCTGTCCCAGCTGGTAAGTTTACCTGATGCCTTATTTGAAGTCTTGTCTTGACTTCTGATATCACCATTGGCCTAACCACAACATCTGCATCATGTTCCATCTCTGGGAAATTTGGAACCACACTTGATTGAACAACTCAAGGTGTAGGCATGAAGCTAAATCCATTTTCCTGACTTAATTGAGTAATTTGTGGTGTTGAACAGTATATTTCATCTTCTGTTTCAAAATCTAACAAAGTTCTTGTCCTTTTCAAAGTTTGTTTTCCCTTGCTTAGCTGCTTTCCCTTTTGGTTGCTATTGAAAAACAAAGTTAGAAAACATAAATAGGTACAAGTTCAGCATATGTGCAAATTGTAGATTACCTGAGCACAAGTTCTTGCATTATGTTTTGGTTGTCCACATTTGCCACAAGTCATGACTCTACCTTTTCTGGATTGTGACCACACTCCTTGCCTTTTAACTGCCTCATCCTTCTACCTATCCCTCTTAACTTTTGGCTTGCCAGCCAACCTCACCAACTCTGGGGGCTCCATTGCTTGTGATGGGTCAATTTTCCAAAAAAATTCTCCTCTAACAAGTTGGAGCTTGTGTCTATAAGTAAGTAGAAATGCCTCTTTACTGTACCACCAGTGCATCTCTGTCAAAGGGTCACCCCTGTTGTGAAGTATAGCTCTAACAGCATGAGGGCATGGGATTCCTGTAAGGTCTCATGCCCTACAAGTGCACTTCTTTATGCTTAAGTTGACACAATGCTTGTTAGACCCTTCACTAACTTCATATCCTCCTTCTCTATTGGAATTAGCTTTACACACTTGAGCAATCTCCATGAATTCATTGTATAGTTCTAGGCTCTTTGGACTGAACTCATTGCTCCATGTACTAGCTTCAGCTTCATGTTTTGTCATCATGTTCATAACTTTGAGTCTAATGTCTTCCAACATCTTAATGATTGGCGTTTGCCTTGCTTCAGAATCCATGAATTGAATGATTCAGTCAAATTGTTATCAACTGATTGATTCTTGCAAACTGTATCTAGATAATCTTTGCACCAAGACTGTGGTGGGTACTTCAATAAATCTTTGTTGCATCCGTGTTCAACTCTCCTAACTTGTTTAGTTGGTCTTTGAAGACTTCTTCATAAGTGCACCATGAACACTACCAAAGCAGTTTTTTGCTTTCCCCGGTATTGTATGTCTTGCACCAGTTAGCCTCGATATGTCTAACACAAAACCTATGATGCGCTTGTGGTAGAACAGTTTTAGTTGTCTCAACTAATCCCTATAACAAATTCAAAAAACATGCAGAAAGAAGAAAAAAGTCAGAAACAAAAGCTGGACAGAAGTAGATGGCAACAGAAAGAAAAAAAAATTCAGAAACAAAAACTGGACAGAAGCAGATGACAACAGAAAGAAAAAAAATCAGAAACAAAAATTGGACAGAAGTAGATGACAACAGAAAGAAGAAAAATCCAGAAACATTACCTTTTGCATGTCTGACATGAAGGTGATTCCTTCCCCTTCCTTAAGGTCTAGAGATCCCTGAAGCAATTGTAGGAACCAGTTCCAAGAATGCTTTGTCTCCTTATCAACAACATCCCATGCCAAAGGATAAAAGTGGTTTTGTGCATCCTCTCCAACAGCAACTAGCAATTGACCATTGGCTTTCCCTTTTAAAAATGTGCCATCTACGCCAATAAATGGTCTTAACCCTAAGTTGAAACCCATCTTCATAGCTTTGAAACAAACATATATCCTCAAGAATCTTCTTTTTCCATTTTCAAGTGCATTTTTTAAATGTTAATCACTACATCATTGCCTGGATTACTCTCCCTCAATTCAATGGCATAAGCATCAAGTTTGTTGTAGATATCTGCAAAACTCTCATCTAAGGTCTCCAATATCATTCTGTTTGCCCTCTTGCACTTCCCATGACTCACATTTAACTCAAAAATCCTTTTCAAATCAAGTATCATCTCCCTTACCTTATACTTAGGATTATCCTGTAGCTTTCCCTCAAAGTAATGTACAATGATATTGAAATCAACAATACTATTATCATATGTAGTGCCACAATTATGTTCTGACTCTAATGTCTTTACAGTATCCCCTGCATTACCATCTTTGGATATTAAACAAACAAAAGGACAGCCACAATGCATCTATACCTAACCCTCCTTGGGTCACTCTTCCTCAATTTTAAGACTTTCTTGTTGGCTAGAGCATACAACTTCATAAACTTCCTAGCTTATGGTATGTCCTTAAAGGCCATCCTTTTATATATCTCCTTGTAATCATTCAGATTCTCAATTATGTCTGTTTTTTTGTGTGTTTTGAGTAAATGTAATTCTTCAGAATCATATCTTTCAGAATCACATCCCTCAGAATCAGAACTTAAGTCAAATCCTAATTCACTTAAGCTACAGTCAGTACCAGCCTCATCTAAACAAGGATATGATTCACTATAATCAACAATATTGGGAATACACTCAATAGGGGTGTCACATTCATCCACATCATATAGTTTCACTACATTATATTCATTAGAAAGCAAGGATATCAACTGTCTAATCCCCACGTCCCCTTGAACCTCATACAATTTACCAGAAGGTCCAACAACTATAAGTTGTTGAACCCCTACAAATCCTAGCTCAACTATGAATTCAGATTCTATATCTATATAAGAAAGCAAGTCTGAATCACACCCTGACAATGTGTGTTGTTTATTCTTTGTGTACACAACTTCAGGATGTGTAACACATTCACCTTCATAATTGAATACTAAATCAACTAAGACCATCTCCAATAATCTAGTAAATATAGCAAATAAGAAAGGTTAGCAAACAGTAAAAGAACCAATATAAGCTGAAAGAATATATATATAGGCAAAAAATGACATGTGAGACAGAGGGTCCCATGAATAAAGAAATACAACATGTACAAAAGAATCCACAAAAAGTTCAGTTTATGGGTCACCCCTTCATAAAAAATTGACAAAGAGAGCAAAGATGCACTAAAATCCAATCACCGGAATAGTTTAATGAAGCAGTTGCATTCAAGGGTCCTACATTTAGGACCACCTTAGCTAATAAACAAAGAAAAAGCACTAAATCTCAGTCAACATCATAGAAAACTAAGGCCCTTTTTCCCAGTAAGACAAAAAACAAATCATAATCCACTTAAGAAACCACCTCTGAGAAAAAATCTTAAACCAGAAGACAATAAATCCACCTTGATATATACTCATACGAACTTATTAGCATAACTGGAGCATGCAACCACTACTAATCGGGACCACCTCAAAACTGAAACATGCAACAACTACAAGAAGACAAACTATAAAGTATATACATAAAAATGAAGGATAAAGCTTAGATGTTGTCCAAACCGAAACCCTAGACCAACAAAATAAGAATAATATAACAAGCAATCAGCAAAACCGTTCAACAAATACTAAAATCAAGCAATTTAATGAAGAAAAGACTGATCTTTACACCAAGATCATATGAAATCGGCAGTTTGGAGTCACCACTACCGCCGGTCTCTTAGATCTTCCAGAGAGTGAAAAGAAAAAGGGGAAATTGACCAAATGGTCTGTGACAGTCCATATTTTAGAGGAGGGTTGGATCGGGTTGGGTCGGATCTGTGCTAAATCTAACCGGATGATTTTGGTTTGGCCCATCTATTAAAATAAGGATATTTGTGTTTACTAGTATAACGTCAGGGGCTTGGTTGCTCTGATAGTATATCGGAGGGCTTATTTAAACTATTGATGATAATAGAGGGGCATATCAGACCCTTTGCCGTTAACTTTATTTAATTAAACTACGTCATATAAATTGAAATTAATGGAGTGCTTTGTCGATTTAATCAGACATACCTTGCTAACGAAGGTTGCAAGGTTACAACCTATATGTTAAATGGGCATTTGTTTATGAGAATCTTTTGTTTTAGGTTTTGGAATTTTTTTTATTTTTCTTATTTTGGAAAACATGCTTATGCTATTAGGATTTAGGACTGGAGGATTGGATTTGAAGTAAGATCTGGATAATTAAGTGGAGTTGCAATCCATATCTTATGGATGAAACTGCCTTAACTTCATAATCAACATTCATTATATTACGTTTATTTTCAAAATTTAAGATGACATTTTGAGTAATTCAACTAGAAATTATAAAGGATCTGTCATACTGCCAAAAAGAACTTCATTTTACCAATTCAAATTGATTTCTCTTGATACAATTGAAACCAAAGAACACATTCTTGTGTAGACAACTGCCCGCAAGGCTGCAACTAACTTCCATGTGTTGGGCGTTGTATGGAAAATTAAGTTAAACATCAGAGCTTAGTTTGTATACAATTCGAGAATACAATTAAATTAAACCACAGGATTAACCAGCCATGACTAAATCTGAAACACAGATATATCATGTATCTAATACAAATCTTGAAACACTGCAACATATACCACCATCATCAAGCTTTAAGACGATGCCCTTTTATGCCTTATTATACCTCGTTCCTCGTCCAACTCAAAGTTCGCTTTAGAAAAGTCATTGCTTGTGAAAAATGCTTGGAGATCAGTAATGCCATAATCAAGTGCCTGCGCGGATTTTAGTATGGAAATGGATTAGCAACCAGTTGCGCACTTTGGGAACTAACAGATAAAGAACATGCTTCAGTATCTTGGGAAGATAAGGCATTGCAAGTATAATTACCTTGCTTTGTAGCTCATCCACTTTGATATCAATATGGTCTAGATTGGCAGTAGAACCCGAAACAATTTCCTCAAATTGCATTGCGTCGTTTACAAGCCCGCGTAGGAGGTGAAGAATGATCGCATTGAAATCTTTTTTGTATGTCATGTACTTTTTGAAGCTCTGCATGAAAATACAAAGCTATTTCAACTGACTCTACTGAGAACTATTACCGGGGCATATGAATGTATCACCAACACACACATCTAGCATCAGAACATATGGAAAGTCTGACACGGTCAACTTATAGGACAATTTTCTTTATTTGACATGTAGAAAGTGGGTGTAAATTGTTGTCACTCAAAATTGATCAAATAAACAAAGAAAAAGAAGTGTATTAGTAAAGAA